CCTGAGCGGGAGTCGACCCGAGCAGGAATGCTCGAGTGGTAGGCGCGCCACTTGTCTATACCGCCTCCACCTATAATATAATAAAAATATTATAGTCTAATATTGTACTGTATCACATTATATTATACTGTTACACTAAATGACATCACCTTACAGTACTTATTCCCATTTCGTGCTCATTTTTTTAATTCTATTAACATACAAGAGTTTTTCTTTATTAATTTTTACGCAAGATTACTTCATATCTTTACAGAATTTTTGTATCTGAATTTAATCTAAGCAAATTGTATAATGTATTAAAGCATCTGGTTGCTCACCCTTTGCTAAGCTTATTCGCTAGGGATGAGGCGTGTCACTGGGGATGGGTTTGGCACGCCGCCAGCCCTTTCTTCACCAGTCGTTGGAGCGGGAGCAACAACACTTTTTGGAAAACGACTGATACGAAGATATGGCATAGTCTTGTCACTTGCGGAAGAATAAAATGAAGAAAACGGGCAGGCGCCGCGCCAGACTTCTCTCCTTGACATGCCTCATCATTCGAAGCGAACAAGACTGCACTACCATCATAAGAAAACATTCACATTGTACAAGCTATGCAACTTATTTTCAAATTTGCTTCTAATTTCGGAAGTAAAAAGTCTTATAGTTCTTAGAGTGATAAGAAGAACATATGATAACTCAAGCTGGACTGAATAACAAGTTAAGGTAAATCGAGAGATAAATAGCCTATTCTGATAACACAGTAGACTTAACAAACTTTAACGACAAAAGTACCAGTTACCAGAATAAGAATGATGTTATCAGAAAGCGCCGTGTAGTGAACAAAGCGAAACTGTCAATAGAGAAGCACTCAACAAACCCAAAAATAGGGCCGAAATGAGCCGATGAAGTCCTTGGTAACCGAAATGAAACAAAACATGGAAAACTCAACCAAGCTGAGCTTCGTTCTTTCCCGATCTTCTGAAGTTGCTGTTTTTTGCGATTTCTTCATGACAGAATTCGTGAAGCGTGCGAGCAATATGCAACTATTCTGCATCATCATTGTACTTATCACTACTTATTTTCTTACTGCTCATAAATTTTGAAATTGCTTCGAAATAGTTCTATTTTTGGCTACAATTGATAACTGATTTTATTGCTAGAACACCACCGGTATTGGCTGGGCAAGCAAAACTTCCGGAAAGCATCAGATTATGCCAGTCATGAGTAGATCAAACTAGAACTCTAGTTGTGTACATCAATAATTGTTCTCTAACGTGTCCGTCTGTTCTCTAACGTGTCGTAAGTACTTCATAATATTGTGTGTTCTGTAGGATTGTTCACAAAGTTAGGGCTTAAAAATCGTTCAGGATTCTTTGATGAGTCCCGGAATTCCTGTCACAACCTAAAATGAGAGCTGACCAGGCACTTAGTTGGGGATTTTGGTGGAATCCGCACGACCCCCTCCCCTAAAAAGAGGCCTGATGCTGTCTCCCCCTAGAGAGTGGCTTGATGCGACCTCCCTGCTTCATTCCTCTGATTCGATGGAGCTGTCAGCGGGGTAGGGGGGGGGAGTAGGAGTGTATAGCACATGCGAAATAGGAAAAAAGAAAAACCGCGAAAAGTCAACAACAGGAAAAATTTTTCCCAACGCCGCAGATTTCTCTCAGAAGGCGAAGACGACCTCCCCCTCCCCCCAGGCAGCCTGAAATACCACCTCCCCACCTTATAGAGCCCGTGTGAAACTAGTGAGATCAACTATCTAAAAGAATTTTTTTTCTTAGACTAAAAAGGACCCCCCTCTGCCCCAGGCTACCAAATACGACCCCCTATTGGAGAATCCCCAACGATGATGTGCCCCGCAGCTGACCTTGCTCCGAGCTGATGTGGTTATCATTTTTGATCATCATGTATTTCTTTCACTTATAACCCCGCAAAACTACTGAATTGGACTTTTCAATTTTTTAATTGGCCTTTTAAATAAATTTCTGAGCGTCCTGAAAACTCTCTCATTGAGGTCTCCATCTTCTCACGATTCGATATACTTCAAAATGTATCATTTCGCCGAACTTCACAGTTCATGCACGCCTTATCCCACACTATCGGGAAAAACGGTATGTGAAAAATATTAGACTAGTAAAAAAGTCTTGTTACTGTTGTGATTTTTTTTCTTCTTTCATTATTCCCTCATCGAACAGTAAAAATTAATTAGTAGTATAATCGTCATTGTTAGCCACTACAGCGCTCCACCTAATGGGTAGGTCAGCAGTCCTCTTTTCCAGAACGGGGAGGCTGCGAGTTGGAGCAGTCAGCGAATTCTTATTGATGCCTCTGAATTTGGTGGAAGTTTCTCCATTAGGAACCCCCTAAAGGGGCGCAAAGGTAGTGATTGGTAGGAGTCTATGTGGGTTAGGGTCTCCCAAGCTTGCTCCAGCAGTATGAATTCTCACGTCATCACGGAGGAGGTGCCCCGAAGCCAGTCTTGGCCATTCTTCCGCAATTGGGTTTCTGGACCTGAGCGGCACAAATGGTAGCGGTGACCGAATGTTCTTAAAGCCTTCTCATCGCGTTCAAGAAGCAGCACAGGAGAAGCAGCACAGGATAACCTTCTTAAGGTGCCAGTCCAATTTGGCCTACTAAGGTGGGACTTCTCCTGTAGACAGTCACACGGTACTGTGTGAAGTGCAATCATGGATAACCCATCTCTCATTTCCACTAGCCAGTCTTCCAGACACTCCTTTTGACGAGGGTACGCAGCGGAGAAATGGGTACCCGGGTGCACCGCGTGCCATCCGTCAAGGTCCAGTGTGAGGGATCCTTCGAGCACTTTTCGATAGCCGAGGGCTTACAGGCTTTCGATGACAGTAAGTACAGTTAACCTAAGTCTTGTAACAAGACTTCGTGTGACAGGCCCCAGATCCTCCTTGACAGCGTCGATGACGGCACAGTCTCTCATGGTGTGGGGCGTCCCGATCGGGGTTTGACTTCGAAGATCGTGTCTCCTTTTGCAAAGGAAGGAACCAGCGATGGACAGTCCTGATGGTAGTGGTCCTTCCCCCAATGTACTGATGATGTCTCGGGCAGCTGCTGTCGCCTCAGTGCTGCGACACCACTCATGGAAAATAATGAATCGTTATTAAATCCAATGAAGAGCAGGTACCTTAAGATACCTTTTACGGGAAAGCTCCAAGAATGTTCTACAAGCCAAGAATCAAAAGCTATAAGCTTCTCTGGATAGGCTGGCAATACTTCCTTGCCAGCATTATGAGAGTATCGTGAAGCTTTTTCTTGTTCTACTAATTTCACTGACTCACATTGGCTAGTGCACCCCCTTGCAAGTTGTTCGTTATTTGTTTCAGATGCGATTGTTATT